TTTATTTAAGTGTGTAGTTAAGTTGCTAAAAGATTGCAAGTAAACTTGGATTGCACTAAAAATAGACCAAAAGGATTCAAAATGTGCAGAGAGCCGGCTCTTAAAAGCTGCAGCCGGCTCTAGTGAAATGGAAGTGTAGAGAGCCGACTCTGGAAGCTGCAGCCGGTTCTACAGGCAAAAATTTGAAGACCATTGTTTGGCGAGCGCGGAGAAAAGACGCAAAGCCGGCTCCAACTTTATAGCCAGCTGTGAGGGTGCATTTAATGCACAACAGTTGACTCTTTTGAAGATTATTTAATATATTTAAAATCAAAATTCCAAAGCCGGCTCAAAGTTTTGCAGTCAGTTCTCGAGGAAAACAGAATGGGCTGCAAACTCGAATAGCCAGCTCTGGAAGTGTAAGCCGGCTCTACAGAGCCGACTCTAGAAAGCTAAGCCGACTCTCTTGACAAACCTGTAACTCGACCTTTGCGTCCTGCAGAGCATTTAATGACCCCCAACGACTAGAAACGGTTATTTTTGAGCAAGGGGCTATAAATATGGTTGGTAACAGATCTGAAGAGGGTCAGAGAACATTGCATTGAATATCTTTACCTACCTACTTGAGCTTTAACTTGAATTTTTTATCTTTGAGTGATCATTGCTTGTAATCCTCTTCTTGTGCTATTAGTGAGTGATCTTGGGGGTGTGTTGATTCCTTCAAGAGTGATCTATTGAAAGGATTTGTGGGGTTTACATTATAAAGGGGTGAGGTTTGAGAGAAATACTCATCTTGTTGTAAAAGGATTGAGTGGCTCATTTAAGCCACCCTTGTCTTTCTTAGTGAAGAGTGTAGAGGAAATCTGTAATATCCCCAAATTTTAGGGACTTAGTTGTGAGAGATTCTTATTATGGGCTTAATAGCAAAACTTTCTGAAGTCAAGGGGTTTAAAAGAAACCAATTTGGATAAGGATCAAGGCTGATATTTTTGTCCTCAGCCACGTGTTTTGCTTTTCTTCATCTTCATTTTTTTCTTCTCCCAGATGCTCTGCCTCCCCGACCAGCCCCCCTTAAGCCACCGTCTTCTTCCTCCTTTGAAAACCGGTAGAAGACTTGAAATTTCTTTTTTCCTTGTTCAAGAACTGATTTTTGGGGCTTAGAACCCTCATTAAACCCAGAATTTTCCCCATATCTGCTCGGTCTCTTCCTCCCCTATCCATCGAGTTCTGCTGGGTGTGGATCCTTCGGTTTTTCCGGTAAGCACAGCCATGAGTTCCTCTCTTCAGCTCTAAATTGGTTTGGGTTCACTCTAATTGCTTTCGTTTCTGTCAATTTCGTGCTAGTTCTCTACGAATTTCCGCCCCTGCCATACCTGCCAGATCTGGTTTTTGCTTGCTAGAAATTCCGGTAATATGATAACTTCCATAAGCTTGGGTTTTCTCAATTGATTGTTGCCTTGAATCTTCGAATTTCCTGCCTTGAAATTGCCCTTGTGCTGTTTGGATTTTCTGCTGAAAAAGGGGAGAATTCCAACAGCAAGTGAGATGATTTGTCTTGCTTAATTCATGTAGGAATTTTATTAATTAAGCTGTTGTGATGTTTTGGAAAGAAAATCCCGTGTGTGTGTGTGTGAGTTGTGGTTTGCCAAACCATGCTCTCCATGTGTTGCCGTGAGTAAATGGGAGAATTTGATGTGAATTATGTAAATATATGAGTGCACAATTGATTTTGTGCTTGATTTCAAATAGAAAAAAAGGAATAAATAAATAAGGTATTATGGGGATTAAGTGCCGGTAAAATTGGGAAAGGATTAAATGTGTTGTTTTAGATGGGTATTAATTTTGGGAAATATTTTGATTAGGTACTTGATTATTCTGCACTCTAGCACTTGGGATTAGTGTGCTGTTGGTGTGACTGAGGTAAGTAAATTATGGTAAAGCCCTTCACTTTTAAAGCATGTTTTAATTGTTTTTGAGATGGTGGCAAGGTTTAAAGTGATTTTAAATTGAGTTATTGCACTGAGCATGATTGGTTTGAAATGGAATTGTTTTGATGTGTGTTGAGTAGAGCATGCCTGTTTTGAAGTAACTGAACTGTTTTGATGAACTGAGCATTTTGTAAATACTGAGTTTCTGTTAAATCCATGCTCACGTGAAAATTGTGATGATTTTTATGAAAGTCATTGTTTTCTGGAACTGAGCAGGATTGAAATGAGAATTTCATTGTTTTTCCGGGGTTGAGCATGCCCACATGGAATTTTCTGGTTTATTCTTGAAATTGAGATTACTGGGAATTATGGATTTTCTGTAAATTCTGCATGGTTTTGGTCTCGGATATAGTCATGATTACTGACGCCCGCTAGTGAGAGCTGTAAACGCTAGCACATGTCGACATGTATTTCTGTGGAACCGGTTCACCCTGCCGATGGGGTTAAACATTGGCACTATTACTGACGCCTACCAGTGGGAGTTGTAAACACTGGTACTATTACTGACGCCTACCAGTGGGAGTTTGTAAATACTGGTACCATTACTGACGCCTGCCAGTGGGAGTGTGTTAAACACTGGCCATGACTTATAGATGAGACTACTGATGAGTTTTATTATACATGAATGGTTTATCATTGAAAGTTCTGTTATGTTTACATGGTTTATCTGGCATGCTTAAATTTTTACCAAGGGCTATCCATATTTTACTTACTGAGATATTTTATCTCACCTCGTTTTCCTTGTCCACCATTTCAGGTAGTGATGCCCGACACATAGGGAACCGGGGGAGTGACGAGCTAGACGGTTAGACATTATTTTGGGACTTAGATCTTTTGGAGTTAGGCCGCGAGTCTCTCATGGATGACCATTTTTGTGTACAGAGTTTTCTTGGTCATAGCCATGATCGTTATAAACTTTTGTATATCTGGAATAGTAAATTTTTGGTAATGGAAAGTTAGATATTACTTGAGTTTTAGATTTGAATTATTCAATTTGGAAATTAACTTAGTAAGTTCCAAGCCTGGTGCATTTGTGGGACTCTCTCACGAGTGCACGGTGTCTGTCGCGCCTTGAAATTCGGGTTTTGGGGCGTGACAAAATCCTTGGTGAGTGAAGCCAAGGTAGAGGACTAGGCTCCAAGTGGTTGGACCGAACCTCTATAAATTCATTGTGCAAGTTCTTCTTCTCTACTCTCTTTAATTTGGGTTTTGTGATTGAAGAAGGGGAGAATTTTTGGAACTCCAATTCACCCCCCTCTTGGAGTGCATTGAGTCAACATATACTACCAGAGGAAGTAATAGAAAGTAACTGACCATTACCAACTTGTATGGAATCAATAGCACAATAAGGGAAACAGGATAAAAGATTACTAGTATTGCAAGTGACATGTGTAATTGCACCACTATCAATGTGGCAATTTGAGTCAGAGACAGATGGTGGATAGGATGGTGCTGCAAAGAAAGTTGGATGGGAATTAGGAAATGTTCAAGAGAGAAATGGGCATTCTCTGGCTTGATGACTGGGTTGGCCACACCATTGACAGGAGACAAAAAGTGAACCAATTAGCAGTGTAGGCAGCAGTGAAGGCAAATTTGAATTTGGTTGAGCCATACGAGAATTAGCATAACCACCATGATTATTAAGAGGTCTACAACCATAACCAATATTGAAATACTGAAAATTTCCTCATGAATTATAGAATCCACATTCAGCACGACCACCACAAGAACCACGCCATCCTCCTCGTGAAATGGTTTTGCCATACCCTCGTGAAGAACCAACAAAATTATAATTGTTTTGAATATCAGCAACATGAACTTGGGAAGGAGAATAGCCTGACAGTAGTGCTTGATTAGTGTTTGGAACAACAGTGTGTAGAACATGATGAGAACCGATGACTACCAACGACAAAGAAGCAGCAACAGCCTGTTCACGTTGAACACTAGCCTCTTCAATTAATAACAAATCTCGCATCTCCAAGAATGATGGAAAAAGAACTTGTTGAGATATTGTTTGCTTAGCAACACTGTAGACGGAGTCAAGGCCGGCAAGAGTTTGAAAGACCAAATCTCAATTTGTTTTGGGAGACCCAATTCCACGTAATTTATCTGTTATACCTTTCACATACTGGAGATAAGCTATCATTGTTTGACCCGACTGCTTTTGAATGGAGGAGAATTCTTGTTGGAGAAAGAGATTTTGTGCTTCCAATTGATTTTGATAGGCAAGATGGATCGCATCCCAGGCTTGTTTGGCATTCAAAGATCTTCTTGGCTATATAATCATCTACAATACTTCTAAAGATATAGTTGCTTGAATTCATGATAGGATTTGGTAATCAATCTGGGTCCAGTCCGCAAACTCACAACTCCCAAGCATAGGACAAGGATCTATGCCAAAAATATATACAAACTCTATCGGTTTTGTGTGCTATACAAATGCAGGGAGCCAGGGGCAATAATTAAGGAAATACAAAGGCATTCCAAACCATTATTTAGACGTAAAAAAGGAGGAATTCAAGGATACCATGATCCAAAAGTGGCATCGATGCCCATTCTTGAATTGTCAGACTCTACAGCTTTATTCTTCCGATTAGCAATATTGTCCTCCTGGTCCACATTAGTTCCAGTATTTGCAGTCTAAAGTGAAGGACTATTTGCAGCTAAGCTGACAACATTAAGATCTTCTAGAGGGCCAATGCCGATGAGCTCACCTCCCGTATTGACAATCTGGGTGAACTGATCTGAAATGTTAAGATGTGAACACAATTATATTTAGAATTATTGTAAATATTTTATACTTTAAAATATTCTCTTTATATACTTTATACCTTAGAATATTCTCTTTGTAAACACCTATATATAGGTCATTGTACATACAGTATGATTT